CTCCCACCACACACACCCTATGGGGTTTTAAAAGATTCTGGAACATCCTCATGAAGACGCTGGACGTCCATTAGAGGCTATCTTAATCCTGTTTGCAGATGTAGGACTAAGGGGACAGCAGGGACAGTGAGCCAGGACCACATCAGTCTGGGCGCCTATAGGGTCCGCTTTACATGAGGTCGTCCAGCATTTTCAGAATTTCCATAGGAATGTATTAAGTCAATACTTTCCTATGGGGTTAGCCTAATGCGTGGCACTCACCCCACATGCACATTAGGCCTCCCATATCGTATGTCAGAGGAGGCAAAGAGAGATCCAGTGCTGAGGGACCATGGCACTGGAATTAGGTATGTGTTTAAAGGGTTATTTAACTCTTTATCTGCCGGGAGCAGGCAGCTATTGTGTTAGCTATACAGCTTTGTTTTCCATTAAACTTCATTATTCACTCTCTATATCCGTTTCAGATCTGTAAACTGTCAGTTATAGGTTCCCATCTTCCATGCCAGTCCCCTTTACCTCCACCACAACAATAAGCAGAGCTACCACTCATACCATTATTTTACTTTCATTATTTTACTCCTCTCCCACCAATGATGGCTGTCTTGTTTTTCTCTATTCTTCTAGTTACCCCCCCCCCACCAAACCCACCTCGTTTACGGTGCTCTCTCTCATATGTGTCTGTCTGTCAGGATACTGACAGGGATCCAATACGCAGAGTGCGGACAGAAGGAGGTACGTATACCGGACCTTAGAATGGCCGGACTAACGTATAGACAAAACAAGAATAGTCAAAAGGTAAGCCGAGGTCGAGGGAGCCGGAGGACAGGTAAGCGAGATACAAGCCGAGTCAAAGGAGAGGAGAGGACAACAGGACAAAAGACAAGCAAGGTCAAAACCGAAAACACAAGAGAGAGAGAACGCGCTGAGTGACTAGCAAGCTAGAACCACGACAGGGCAATGAGCAGTAGTAAAGGTTTCCTTTAAATACCCTGTCACCTTAATTGAGACCACGCCCCCAAAAGGTCCGGAATAGCGGTTCCCGGCACTTCACGTAATGCTGACGTCATGACGTCGACGCTAGCCGTCGCGTCATAAAAGGGGGAGGAGCTAGCGCGGCTGGCGCGAAAACGGCCGGAATTTGCCGAAATGCTAGGGGCAAGGAGCCCCTAAACAGAGAGGATGTCTTCCCTGGAGTCAGCACCAACAGGTACCCTGACAGTACCCCCCCTTCTAGAAACACCCACCGGGCGGATGGGACCGGGCTTAGAAGGAAAACGAACGTGGAAGGCCCGAAGAAGGCGAGGAGCATGCACGTCTACACAAGGAACCCAAGACCTCTCTTCTGGACCATAACCTTTCCAGTCTATGAGGTATTGCAATTTCCCCCTAGAAATACGAGAATCCAGGATGGACCTGATGATATATTCTTCCTGACCATCCACACGGACCGAGGATGGAGGAGCAGAGCGGGAGGAAAATTTGTTACAAACAAGAGGTTTCAATAAAGACACATGAAAAGAGTTAGGGATGCGTAGAGTAGGGGGCAGGTCCAGCAAATAAGAAACCGGGTTGATCCTCCTCAGCACCCTGTACGGGCCTATGTAACGAGGAGCAAACTTCAAAGAGGGGACTTTCAGGCGAATGTGTCTGGTACTCAACCAGACCCTATCACCCGGAGAAAAAATAGGAGCAGGCCGTCTACGTCTATCAGCATGCAACTTAAACACTGCGGAACTACGTGTAAGAATTTGTCGAGTCTGATCCCACAACTTTCTCAGGTTGGCTATATGAATATCAACCGACGGTACCCCCTGGGAAGGAGACACCGACGGAAGAACAGTAGGGTTAAAGCCATAGTTCAAGAAAAAGGGGCTATTACGAGTGGAACCACAAACAAGGTTGTTGTGAGCAAACTCCGCCCAAGGAATCAGACCGACCCAGTCGTCCTGGTGTTCAGAAACAAAACAAGGTAGATATTGCTCAATTTTTTGGTTAGTGCGTTCGGCTGCTCCGTTAGATTGAGGATGATAGGCCGAAGAAAAATTCAGTTTGATGCCCAACTGGGAACAGAAGGATCTCCAAAAACGGGAAATAAACTGGGAACCCCTGTCCGACACAATCTCATTGGGAATACCATGCAAACGGAAAATTTCTCTAGCAAATATCACGGCCAGTTCAGGAGAGGACGGAAGTTTAGGCAAGGGAATGAAATGAGCCATTTTAGTAAACCTGTCAAGGACCGTGAGGATAACCGTGTGCCTACTGGAAACCGGCAGATCAACAATAAAATCCATAGCCAAACAAGCCCAAGGTTTGTTGGGAACGACTAAGGGCTGCAATAAACCACAAGGGAGATCCTGTGGTAGTTTATTCCTGACACAAACATCGCAAGCCTTGACAAAGTCTTCCACATCCCTACGTAAACTAGGCCACCAGAAGTCTTTGGAGATCAGGCAGTAAGTTTTGTGTATGCCGGGGTGACCAGCGAACTTGCTATCGTGAAAACAGCGAATAATGTCCACTTGGAATTTGGGAGACACGAACAAGCGGCCCACAGGAGTACGCTCGGGAGCAAGAGATTGTTCATTCATAATATCTAAGAGCAATGGAGAGTGTATTTTGACATTGGTGTTGGCGATAATATTGACTTCAGGAATAATAGGGAACAAAGTGTCTTCTGTAGAGGCGATAGGCTCGTGCTGACGAGACAATGCGTCTGCCTTAGTGTTCTTAGAACCAGGCCTGTAAGTAAGCATATAATTAAAGTGTGTAAGGAACATAGACCAACGTGCTTGCCTGGCAGATAGTCTTTTGGCCTCCCCCATATAAGATAAATTTTTGTGGTCAGTCAAGATAGTAACTGGGAGAACAGTGCCCTCTAACAGATGTCTCCATTCCTTTAATGCCATAATGATAGCTAAGAGTTCTCTATCACAATTTCACCGTGATCTTACGCAATTTGAAACACTTTGTGCAAGTAGACGGCACATGGAACGGGGGATTTCGACCCTATACACAATGCTTATCGGTGGGAGACATGTGCCGCCCCCGAAATTCATCGCCAGATGGGAAAGAGAAACCGGAGAATCCCTGACGACCCAGGACTGGGACAAGATATTTCTACTCACTCACAAATGCTCTATTAGCTCAAAATTTCAAGAGATGAGCTACAAGCTGTTAACAACTTGGTACAGAACACCTGATGTGCTACACCGCATGAACCCGGATATAGAGGACACATGCTGGAGGTGCAGAAGAGAGAAAGGCACCATGCTCCATGTCTGGTGGACGTGCTCATCCATCACCCCCTTCTGGGAAATGGTAAATGCCAGAATACGCGAAATATCAGACCCGGAACTCCCGCTCCAGCCCCTCCCCATGCTACTACACCACACGACCATGACACTAAAGACCTATAAGAAATCATTAACGAAACATCTACTGACGGCAGCGAAATCCCTGATACCCACAATGTGGAAACAAACGGCTACCCCCACCTTTCAACAGTGGGTAGACAGAGTAGGAGAAATTCGTTCTATGGAAAGCATGACGGCAGACATCCAAGGCCGCACGGAAAAATGTAACCTGACATGGACCCCCTGGCTCCTGTACATTGCTGCGGACAGAACTGTAACCTAAAACACCTGCCACCCTTTTCTCCTCCCCCCCCCCAGCTGCTCAACACACCTCTTCCTATTAAGGTATATACACCCCCTTCCTTTCTCTCTCCCCTTCTTACTCTCTCCCCCTCTCCCTCATCTACGCCCCCCACCTATCCAGACATTGCTGGACCAAGGTAACTCAAATTTAGATATAGAACAGGACCGGCGTGCCACTACGGACTACCGCACAGTCGCCACAACCCAAGCAGGCGATGGAGAGGTCAACAGACAAAGGCCCACATACTCTGACTATAGTACTACACACGCCTAAGTCACCCTAGATGCCCACAGACTTATAGCCACACATGTGGGGGACACCGCAGTACGAATAGCAGTATAGGCACTCTTGCCCGTAAGATCCACACATTGACACCCCCCCGCCAAGACGACCACACTCGACAGGCGCAGAAACCATACAAAAGAGGCTGACAGACTCAAACGTGGACGAGAATCACTGCACTCGATATATGCGACACACAAACAAACACTATTCATGCCGACACAACATAGATAACTGCAAAAAGCCGAAAGAAGGACAAAACTGAAAATGCGGAGATCGCCACCCTTGGTGCTCGCTATGGTCAAGGCGACTCCCCTACCCTTGACTAATCTCCTATTCCCATTCTCATACACACCCCCACTTCCCTTGGACAATAACTGATAACTGAAGAATGTCAAAAACATATAATAAGAATATTAAGATATAAGGAAGTCAAATGGGCTGTACTCCACTACTGTTGTATAGATAGCACTGTAATACAAAAGCAACATTTATGTAGTTCTTTAATGTACACTTGGATTGAGATATTGACTCACAGCTATTGAACTCTTTTCTCTGTATTTCCCTGTTTATGAAAACGCAAAATAAAGATTGTCAAAAAAAAAAGAGTTCTCTATCACCAATGTCATATCTCCTTTCAGTGTGTGATAGTTTCTTGGAAAAAAAAACGCAAGGGTGCAGCGGCTTATCTAAACTTTGTCTTTGGGACAACACTGCGCCTATCCCTGTTTCAGACGCATCAACTTCAAGTAAAAAGGGTAGAGAGGTATCAGGATGAACTAATACAGGTGCTGAGGCAAAAGACTGTTTGAGCGTTTCGAAAGCAGATAAAGCCTCAGTAGACCAGGTTTTGGTATCGGCTCCTTGTTTGGTCATATTAGTGATAGGAGCGATAACAGAGGAGTACCCTTTAATAAAAAGTCTGTAATAATTAGAAAATCCAAGAAATCTTTGTATGGCTTTGAGTCCCTTAGGTAAAGGCCAATCTAAAATCGATTTTAGTTTGGTCGGGTCCATCATAAACCCGTCTTTGGAAATTACGTAACCTAAGAAAGTTACCTGAGACTGATCAAAGCTACATTTTTCCAATTTACAATACAATCCATGTTGTAAAAGTTTCTGCAATACCTTTCTGACTTGTCTATGATGTGAGTTAATGTCTCTGGAATGTATTAGTATATCATCCAAATATACAATCACACATTCATGTTGGAATTCTCTAAGAACTTCATTGATCAAGTCTTGGAAGACGGCCGGGGCATTACAAAGCCCAAACGGCATTACGGTATACTCATAATGCCCGTAACGGGTATTAAATGCTGTCATCCATTCATCTCCTTGTTTAATTCGCACCAAGTTATATGCTCCTCTCAAGTCAAGTTTGGTAAAAATACTCGAGCCCTTTAGTCTGTCAAAGAGTTCAGTAATCAAAGGAATAGGGTAAGCATTCCTGATAGTAATTTTGTTCAATCCCCGATAGTCTATACAAGGACGTAAGGTACCGTCTTTCTTTTCTACAAAAAAGAAACCCGCCCCCGCCGGAGAAGAAGACTTTCTAATAAATCCTTTGTCTAAATTCTCCTTGATGTATTCCTCTAAAACTAAATTTTCCTTGGTGGATAAAGGGTATACCGTACCCCTAGGAGGCATAGTACCAGGGAAAAGTTTAATAGAACAGTCATAAGACCGGTGGGGAGGTAAAGTATCCGCCTTACCCTTGTCAAATACAGATTTGAGGTCTAGATATTGTAATGGTATCTGAACGTCTGTGGATTGGGAAGAGTTAGTATAAGAGTTTACGGGGCAAACAGAAGTAACTCTCTGCAGACATTCCTTCCTACAACCAATACCCCAAGAAACGATTTCTCCACCCTCCCAGTCAATCTGAGGGTTATGTCTCTTGAGCCAAGAATATCCTAGCACCACTGGGACTGCCGGGGAGGAAATTAACAGAAGGGAAATCAACTCCTCGTGGAAGATACCAACAGTAAGCTTAACAGGTTTGGTCTCATGGAATATTACTGGTTCCGATAAAGGTCTACCATCTATGGCCTCAACGGCCAAGGGTGTATCTCTCAGTTGGAATGGGATACAATGCTTATTAGTGAAGGTTTGGTCTATAAAGCTTTCTGCTGCTCCAGAATCTAACAATGCCATCGTAGAAATAAACCCATTTTCCCAAGCTAGAGAGACAGGAATCAGAAGCCTATGGTCTTTTTTATTATGTATAGAGGACAGTAACGAAACACCCAAGGCCCGTCCTCTAAGGGAACTTAGGTGCGAGCGTTTCCCGGGCGATTAGGGCAACTAAGACGTAGGTGACCTCTCCGCCCGCAGTATAAACAGAGACCCTCCCTTCTTCTGTACTGTCTCTCAGCCTCAGATAAGCGAGTATTACCTATTTGCATAGGTTCTGGTGGAGTAGGATTATAGGAGTCAGGGTTCTGAAATGAGGAAGCAAGTCTTACAGGAAGTCTAGTAACTCTTTCCCGAGTGTTCTGCCTCTGTCTCATGCGTTCATCTATTCTGGAAATGAAAGATACTAAATCCTCTAAATTTTCCGGAAGTTCTCTTGTGGCAATCTCATCTAGAATTTCATCAGACAACCCATTCAAGAATACATCCATAAAAGCTTGTTCGTTCCATTTCACTTCTGCTGCCAATGATCTAAACTCTAATGCATATTCTACAAGGGTCCTATTCTGTTGTTTAAGGCGTAACAGGGATCTGGCCGCATTAATCTTCCTTCCTGGGGGGGTCCTGGGGGGTCAAAAGTCCTTCTAAATGCCGTGACAAAAGCAGTGTAGATGTAGACTAGAGGATTGTCATTCTCCCAAAGGGGATTGGCCCATCTAAGTGCTTTATCTATTAGCAGAGTTATAATGAAGCCTACTTTAGCCCTGTCAGTAGGGTAAGCCCGGGGTTGAAGTTCAAAATGTATGCTTATCTGGTTTAAAAAACCACGACAAGTATCAGGCGAACCCCCATAACGTAACGGTGAAGTGACATGGGAAGATGCGCCTACAGTGGCTACTTCCAAACCAGTACTTAGTGGGAGGCTAGCAGTGGAACGTATTTCTTCTGACTGGGTGCTGGAACGTGTTAGCAAAGTTTGTAATGCTAAAGCCATTTGGTCCATTCTATGGTCCATGGCCTCAAATCTGGGGTCAGGAGGACTAGCACCTGCAGGATCCATTTGGCCCTGTCGTAATGTCAGGATACTGACAGGGATCCAATACGCAGAGTGCGGACAGAAGGAGGTACGTATACCGGACCTTAGAATGGCCGGACTAACGTATAGACAAAACAAGAATAGTCAAAAGGTAAGCCGAGGTCGAGGGAGCCGGAGGACAGGTAAGCGAGATACAAGCCGAGTCAAAGGAGAGGAGAGGACAACAGGACAAAAGACAAGCAAGGTCAAAACCGAAAACACAAGAGAGAGAGAACGCGCTGAGTGACTAGCAAGCTAGAACCACGACAGGGCAATGAGCAGTAGTAAAGGTTTCCTTTAAATACCCTGTCACCTTAATTGAGACCACGCCCCCAAAAGGTCCGGAATAGCGGTTCCCGGCACTTCACGTAATGCTGACGTCATGACGTCGACGCTAGCCGTCGCGTCATAAAAGGGGGAGGAGCTAGCGCGGCCGGCGCGAAAACGGCCGGAATTTGCCGAAATGCTAGGGGCAAGGAGCCCCTAAACAGAGAGGATGTCTTCCCTGGAGTCAGCACCAACAGGTACCCTGACACTGTCAGTGTGTGTAAAATCAGTATGTGTGTCTGTAATTGAAAATGTGTGTTAGTAAGTGTGTGTGTCAGTGAGATTGTCTCTGTGTAACTATTATGTGTGTACTATACCTTGGGATATCAGATATCTATTTATCAAAGTCATGTGCAATGCAGCTAATCATACTCAGCCAGACACATCATCACTCACAGCTACCAACACACACCAACATCACAGTCATCTACATAAAACACAGCCAAGACACAAAAATCACAGTCACACAGTTTGTATACGCGACTGCAAGGCAACCATACCCAGCAAACATGTATATAAACGATTAGCATACCCACAAATTAAATGTGTCTATTGCAAATTAATTTAGTTTGCAAATTATGCCATAATAACAGTCAGGGAGCTCACAACACAGTGGTACAGGGAGCTGCGACACTGCAAGCCTCTGAACAATGAATACAGAGACTAGCTCTCTGTACCCAGTCTCTTAAATATAACTACAGATCATTATACAAAACAATGCAACTCTCCCCTATATTTTAATATTAATACAACTAAAATTAACCTATTAGGAAGTGTTATCATGATATAACATAATGGATGGTTTTGATGGGGAGGGGGGGAAACATTTCATCCTTGACCCAGGCCACACAAAGTCTTCGGTCTGCTTTGCGGTCTATGACGGATTTAGTGAGATCCTCCATAAATGGCGATTCGTGATAGGAGTTTCATGCATGGAACTCACTGCTATCACTTATGACAGCTTCTGGCATTGGACAAACGTTGAGGGTGAAGCTCTGCCTTTTGGAATCTTTTGTCAACCCCAGGCTTGTCCAGAAGACAATTAGTCCCTACGGTGTCCTAAGGTATCTTTGGATTGTGTCTCATAAAGTGACAGAGCAAACCTCTAGGTGTAAGGAATGGTTTCACTGATGTAAACTTGGAGCTTGAGAGACCATCAACCCTGTGCTTATTAGAACATATATTATGCCCACGTTAGACATCAGGTTGTGTCTCACTGTATAAATATTGCCCCTTTATGGCAACCACATTAAACATACAGCATGGTGGATTAATTAACAACGAATAGTTAAATTAAATTCCTTGTCTCTATTGTTCCAAAGCAGTACAAACACAGATAAGAACAAGGTGTATCTCAGTTGGTACATGTTGAGAAAACCTGTCATCTTGTGATGACAAATTTGTTTCCAAAAGATTAAACAATTGGACACACAGCAGAAACCTTTTAGCAAACACAGGGCCAGTTGGTGGGAAAAATCTGTTTATTCAACTTAGAAAGTACCAAGATAACAGAATATTCTGTAAAGGAAACAAACATGAATCGAGTTTTCTAAAATTGAGTTCTCTAAAAGACGCTTGTGTGTGCTTGTAAATAGAGGGAGGCAGTAAATGTTAACGTGGTCTGAGCAGGTTTCCATATATAGCATTGTAATCGACATTTTTTTCTTCAAATATCTACATCCTGGCAGTGGGACACCCCAGCAGGGGCAGAGATTAGGACAAGAAAAGCTCAGACTGATGCTGCCCACATCGTGCCACTAGGTATGATGAAACCCACAAACAATGTAGTTTAATGTGTGTTTGGACATATAGAAAATGGGGAGTGAGAAAAATGTTAAAAACTGTCGCTTGTCTGCTGCGCCAAGCATGGTAGGATTATGAGCTAACATTGCATTTCCTCTAATAACTGGGTAAACAGATAGCCCAGTCAGTTAAACTCGACAGTGGGGAATGTTTGCCATTTGAACCTTAATTCTCTATAATCCCACTATTATTCTCTGCATTGCTTTCCAAAACTCAGAGACAATCCACAGGCTCACATCTGATTCCATACTTTATATAGGTGGGGGCATAATATATCGCTCGCAGCAACACATGGGAAGAGATAGAGAGTTATTTTTGGCAGACACGACCCAGCAGAATTGTGTGAAGATTACACTCGGCCAAGTCCTGACACTTTCCATGACACCAGATTACATTTCAGAACTCCCAACGGCTACATCTGGCATTGCCAGTGTTTTTGTTTTTTTCTCAAAGCTTTTCACATTATGTATCGTGTCTTATTTATATTTATTCTATCAGGGTTATTCCTGAAAGCGAGAATTGTTTAGAATCTCCAATTCAAGGCCAAAGTAGCTGATCTGAAAGCATAGCTGATTTGGATTTCCATTTTGGCTATTTTGGCCTTAGACTGGAAATTTAAGCTGAATCTGCAACAATTCATAGTTAAGTGTATAGCCCTGTTTGAGTGTGGGATATTTGGTTTTAGAGCTGGTTGTGAATATAATTATACTTTGCTCTAATGAAAACATATCAGACTGACTTAACCTATTTACTTTAATCTGTGCCAGCATTACTAATTACGTAGTGTGCCAATGTATGCAATATCGATTGGAACTGTAAAATATTATAGGCGTTCATGTGGGATTTGTTGGGTGTGCCCAGACACAACCTACTGCTGGGCTAAATTGTCCACCCTGTCTCTTATTAAGATCCCGATTGGAAACATTACATCA